AAGAACAAGGATCCCTTGTAATATATAGAAAAAAAAAACTCAGTATTTAAGAACAAGGATCCCTTGTAATATATAGAAAAAAAAAACTCAGTATTTAAGAACAAGGATCCCTTGTAATATATAGAAAAAAAAACTCAGTATTTAAGAACAAGGATCCCTTGTAATATATAAAAAAAAACTCAGGTTTGCAGAAACATTGATGGTCATTTATATTAAGTCTAGTCAATGTAATTATTTTCTAAATTACTGTTTGAACACTTGGGCCTTTTAGTATTTTGAGTTACTTTTGCCATATATAAACTGAAATATGATGCTGATGCTGCTCATACAGAGCTTAGTAATAAAAATATTTGAAACATAAATAAAATTTTCAAACTGGTCAGTGGTGTAACTATAAAAGATGCCCTTCCCCACATAAAAGTAATTGGACCTGCTACATATATTTCCCTATATTTGTGGTTATGATTCTGGCTGACTTGATATCATTAACTTAAGAGTATAGTGCAACTTCCCTTTAGTTCAAACAAACTAAATTGTTTGTCTCTCCCCTTGTCAGCAATTCTTAAATTTGTCAGGTCCTTCAGGTCCCCTTTTGGCTCAGGCCCCCTGCAGCTGCAAGGGCATACTTATACCACTGAAACTGGTACAAGTTTTTTTTCCAATACTGAAACTTACATCACTGGTGATTATTTCTACTTATACTGACAAAGTAAAGTTTAGGCTCCACTTGTGCTTATTGATGTGCTAATCATATTTTTGTTTAGTGGCAATGTATGATGATACTAGTCAAAATGTTACTGAATGACATAATGCTCATTTTGGTAAATTGTTGTTATTACTGGTAATATGTTCTGATACTAATTCATGAGTAATGACATTGTGCTAAGAGGAAGTATAGATACTGTAGATGAGTTCAGAGATTGTATGTACATGAACAGTGGTCCTATTTTGGATTGTAAACATTTCATTTATACAGATATATCATGTTCATGAATGAGCTTTAGAATCAAACATTAACATTTTCTGTGTGGTATCTCAGACTGAAATAACAGATCTAGTATCTCATTAAGTTATAAAATAATTGCAGTGTTTCATATTACAAATAAATCATTTCCCTATCAATAAAAAATGTAAATTTGTCATCAATTAAAGTAATGTAATAATTAATGCAAAAATAAAAACAAAATAACACTGCCATTTTGAAGGTGCCTAGTTTTTGGAAAGGTAAAGTATTTGAGCTGTATTACAAACTACTTAGGCAAAGGCAATCATTTCAGTTATTTACAAAGTAGATGGATAATTTCATCTATGGTACACTTGAAATTCATTCAAAAATTTGAAAATGAAAGCCAATGTTTTGTATATAAATATTATTTGTGCACAAAACAATCATAATTGTTTAATTTACATGATACGAGAGTACTATTTCATCCTCTTTTTTTCCTACAACACTCACACAAAAATCGTAAAATGAAATGATGAAATTATACCTACATAAGTTATCATAAGAGGAAGGGTAATATCAAATATAAGTCCCCCGAAGCATTGCAAAACATAATTATTAATAACCACTAGGTTATTCATGAGAAATGGTAATGTCATATAATATGTGTGTGTGTATAAGAAAGCTAAAAATTGAAAAAATAATAATCAAAAGGAAGGATAGGACAAAATTTACACAGAATATCCAAACATTTGATTAAGTATAATTAAATGTAATTTTATGAAAAAAAAAATAATAATAAAATATAAATTCAAAGTAATAAAAAAAATGCAAAATGATAAATAAATCGCAGCCACAATACAAACATCAAACACCGTAATGTGCTCTGGATTTTTGCATTGGGGGTACACCATCTATCCAGTTTAACCTCAACTTCACATCCTTAAGAGAGAGAGAGAAAAAAAATGGAGCAGATATAGGTGATCTAGCCCACAACATTTAATCTCAACTTCACCAGTCTCGCATCCCTAAGGAAAAAAAATGGAGCAGATATATACAAAACATCAATGAGGAAGAGAGCAAAACTGTTCTTTAAGTCAGCATTCAAACCCCCCTTATGATGTTTGGACATAAATACCAAGATGTTAAGGTATTGCTATACTGAGCCCATCAAAATTATTAGTATAGCTCCTATCCTCCACCCTTTTCATGCTACTGTCTGGACCATCAAAAGTTCTAAAGAGATCCACACAGTAACAGTTCTTATATAAGGAAGGTGATATTTAATTACATTAGTTTACCTATATAAGTAATTACCGATAAGTAATCCCAATTATTTTAGAAATTATTTTTTATTGTGCATATTATAATTTTGTTTAAATCACTATTTTCAAATTTATATAAATACTTTATATATTTATTATAAAATAATTTAAAATATTTAATTAATGTTTTTCTCATCAAATGCATTAAAAATCAGTTTGTATACTAATATATTAATATTATATATTAAGAATTAACTGTATATTACTAGAAATGTTACAATACTTAAGATTGTATCACACTCTCAGATCATGGACTATCTTTCTTCACTAACTCCTCTTCTCATGATCAAATTATTTGTCTATATAATGCCATTTCAAAATTTGCTGAAGTACAAACTTATGTTAGCAGTAAAAGTACAAAGGAGTGCACATAAACACATTAAGTAAAACACAGAGAAAAATCTATAATAACAAATCCTGAGGTCACTCTATCTAATATTTTTCTTAATCTGTGGTAGTTTTACGTGCACTAGTAACTATCTGTATAATAGTAGTAATCACAATAACAAAAGGTTTGGCAGAAAATATTTTGAAAAGTTGAAACTGAAATTTCCTACCTTACTAAACTATAAGTATAGCCTGGATACATTTTGGCAGTGAACAAAAAATAAAAAGATGGCAGAGCACTGGTCTTGTAAGTGAAAGTTTCTGAGTTTGAGTTGTAGTCTTGGAACCAATTTTTACCTTTCATGGGATTTTCTTTTTATGAAAATTGAATCTGTCTAGTTTTACCACTTAAATTCAAAAACTTTCCATGAGTTAGCATAAGCAGTTGAATAACAATTTTAAGTCCACTTTATTTGTTCACTGAATTATTAAAAGTCTTTGTAACAATGTATTACAGTTACAGTAATTATATTGCTACAAATGTACAAGAAAGCTCTATCAATACCAAATTTATAGTAAGGTTAGACCACCATGACCCATTGGGTCACCCAGTATTCAAAGGTTATGAAGAATTCAAGCTAATTTCAATATTGCACCAAAATGAAGGTTTATTTTGAGATAATTTAATTGAATATTTCAATCCATTCGTGTTATTCATAATTCAAAAAAAGATATTTGATTCTTGATCGGGAGTAAAAGGAAAGACCATTTCATTTTTCAAAGAAGGGGAAATAGATTTGAAAGAAAAGTTTTGTAAAGAGTGCTGATGTAAAATTACTCATGCCACAAATTTTCATAAAAGTGACCCGAAAAATGGTGCTAACTCAGTAACCTATGTCCCGATTTTAACTAAACTTATTTTATTTTGTTTCTATTCTCATTTCATTACAAATATGGCATTATTGTGCACCATTTTTGCTGTATTTAATTACATACAAACAATCTCAGAGTTTTAGTAGTATATTGATTGATAGATAGATAATGTCTCCGTATTATATTTGGCTCATTAGAATCACTGTCATCCTGGCAGTTGCTCTGGATTAGGAAACTCAGGATATTTGGAAAATTGAATAATTCCATTTGCCTTTAAACTACGCTTATAAATACATTCTGATCATTAATGCATTATAAAATTAAAGGTTACTGAAGTATGTTTGTAACAAAAAAAATGTAACATATTTTTTGATATACAATTATAATATTACACATTAAAATATATATTTTTCCAAGGATATAAAGCACAGTATTAACAGAGTGAGCCTAATGATGAAGTAGCTTCTATTCATGTCATGCTATTAACAACAGTGAATATTATGTACAAGAATCAAAGACAATGCTTGTATCTAAAAAGCAGGTTGCTGCTATTACAGAACAAAAAATTTCATACATGTTGTCACATGAAAATTAAAAAGCTGCCCACACATCAGTGTGAAAAGATTTAATGTTTAGTTATATGTTAATAAAGATATTATATTTTATATATATATATAATGGAAGAAATTCTGTACTAAATTACGGCTATTTTTATCTCAGACTTTGTTTAATGCTTATAAAAGGAAAAAAATGAATACATAGATTATCATGATAATAACTTAAACTTTTATTTTGCTATATGATAATGATTTCACTGTCTCAGTTTGGTAATCAAGCATACTTTGTGTCTCCTATCCCCTTAATTGATATAAAATGTTTCAAAATTTTCCTACATATTGTGTATTTAGTCAATACAGAATATTTGAACAAGGGGCCCACTAAGTTTCTTTCACTCTATTTACCAACTAAACTGGATCATTCAACTGGAGTGTCACATATATTTTTTCATGGGAAAGATACTAGTAAAATAGAGCATACTATAAAGAAATAGACAATGATCTTTGCAGCTTTGAATCAGATGATGTTTTAAGGCTACAACATCCCTTAGTGTAATGAGAGTAACCATCAATGACACAAGGAGTGCCAGCATCCTGTTAAGAATTGCTTTGTTGTTGTTTTTATAGAATATAATGTCATGTTTTCTTAGTTTGGAACAAAATGATTTTGAGATTTTTGCAGATATTGATCTTCTTTATATACACCAAGTGCATTCCAATAAAGGTGTCACATAATTAACATCTTTTAAACCTAGATTGTATTTGCCTGAAATACATATTGTTTCAATGTGTTATACATTCTGTCCAGTCTCTTTCTTTGTCTCAAACCCACAGATATTGAAATAATTCAGAATCACTCCATAATAAATTTTCTGTCAAAACATTCTGTCATTCATAATCTTCTACTCGATTATTCAAAAAGACACAATCGCAACAGATAATACCACCCCAGCACATCACAAATTCACTTCTGAATTCCAATATGTAACATCAAGTAAGAAATATATATAAAAATTGTCACATATTGATGAATTAAAGTTAATGAATGTGGAATATATATATTTGCATCAAGTACAAAGTATAATCACAAATTAATATACAACAGATGACAAGAAAGTCAACACATTCAAACTTTTAATTGTGACTGTGTTTCCTGTCTTGTTTAGTTGAGCCAACACTTGAGTTTGTTTATGCATGATATCTGCTCATAATCAAATATCATTAAATGACTGACAAAAGGTCTTTGTCACAGTAACTGTCATATGCAAATCATTCTGTCACTCTATGTAAATAAGTTGGTTAGATTTTTGTTAATAGCCTGTAATATTCCCTTAATTGTAATCTCATTGTATAGTAGCAAGTAAAAGAGAACTGAAAACTGATAAGCCAGACTCAAAAATGTACAATTATAGATTGGGTGTTGCTTGAAATGTGGTTAGGACTCATAAGTGTTGTGAATTAAGATTAATCTTAGAGTTTTAAAATGATAATTTTGTAAGTTAGGTTTTCTCTTTCTGGATGTGTTTCGTAAATTCTCAAGTTAAGATTGTGTAGTTGAGTTAGAAGTTCAGTTACGTCATTTGTAAAAGTACGAGACTAATATTCGCAAATTGCTTGTATACTTTGTTTCAGTTGTGAAAGTTTTAATAAATACTTTTGTTTTTAAGAATCCTGGTATTAACATATCAATCAATCTTATTGTACAATAAAAGATTTGTTACAGTATTTTCTTTATATATATGTGTCTGCTAAATACTTAAATAAGTTATTGTTAGCATCAAATGTCAATGAAGTTATAAGTTTGTCCTTGTTTAGGTAATTTTATTAAAACTAAAACCTGCAAAGGCTTTTATATACACATCATCTGTGCTACATATACAGGATGCACTTACTCTGGGTTATTTGCCAAATCATCCTTCATAAAAACAATTATTTGTTCATCTGGCACTCCATGAGCATGAAGAATCTGGTAGGCATGACAAATATCTGCCTGAAAATAAAAATCCTGATTCATTATAAAACAAAATTACCAACGACACAGAAAAAAGTAATTAAATGAACTTGTATTACTTTTTTTTATAGTTTTTTCCTTTATGTTTCAAATAGTTAAGAAACTGAACACTAGTTTTCCAGAGTAGATAGTATTATATAAAATCATATACAGAGGTCGAGTACATTATATTAAAATTATTTTGGATCTTCACTTAGTTGTTACACTCCATATAATCTTGCCACATCTTTCTGATGACCACACATTTTGGCATTAGTCCAGCAGTGTAGTTCCCATTGCAAGAGGCTTCACCATAAGACTGTCATGTCTAAAATACAAACCTCCTTCCTGCAAACATTCTATAATCCACCAAGTATATGGGGACAACGGCTTTCTAGTGCTAATTTCAACAATTTGATTGAACAGAAGTCAATAGGTAACTTGACCGATATGTCTTCATACGGAATAGCATGAATACCAGTTTCATTTTCCAGCTGCTTCAGGTACATAATGGTTAAACAGATATATCATGGATGCAACTTGTGTACACTTTTCTTGGCATGGCTTCAGTACATTATTTGAAGTCTCTTTACAGATGGCCATGGTGCTGAAGTTGAACCACATTCCTCAGTTTTTTAATGCTAATTAGGACAATGGTTATACTTGTCTTGGAAATTTTAAATCTCTAATCTGAGTGTATGAATATGTTGTGTTGAAAAGAGCTGTTACATACTCTTCCCAGAAGCAATAAACTTTCAATGTCATCATGCTACCTACCTATCCCCAGACAATATCAATATGTAGTTCTTATACATGCCAATCCTCAGTGGTTTTATATCGGCTGTGGGGTTCAAGTAGCTTGCTAAATTACATACTCAAAATCATTTTAATATAATATACATAATATACTCAACCCTCTAAATATTCAAACACAATAACTCATTTTAAGAATTGTAACATTTCATACATGAATAGCATATATTATATATATCGTAATACAAAAATAATCATATGTATTTAAGTTCAATGCAAAAATAAATTCGTAATGAATAGATAAATCGTAACTTGATTGATTTTTAGTTTTTGTCTAATTATGTTTTATGGATATTACCTGAATGTGACCATCAGTTTACTAGTAAATATATTTAATATATTAATACAATATGTCGTGTAGTAATTATCAAAATTAAAATATTTTAAATAGTGCACATACAGTACATATGTGTACAATATTATAATAACAGCAGAAATACTTATTCACATTTCTAATGCTATTTTAAACTTATAAGATAACATAATATTATGGGACCTATTGGTCCATCTTGGCTATTCCATCCACTAAACTAAACCTCAAAGCCATATAGTTCATAAAATTCATTCCATCATTCATATAATTATCAAGCATTCTCTTAAACTCACTTAAATTTACTACCTACACAACATTTAAAGGAAACCCATTCCAAAGACCAACTATCCTGTTAAAAAAATAAAACTGTCTTGGTTAAAGATGACTCCTACCCTGCCAAAATTTATATTTGTGTCCCCTAGTCCTACCATTCTCCCCATTAAGTATGAAAAAAGATGATGCATCAACACTGTTAATTCCCTTAACAACATTAAACACCTCAATCAGATCCCCTCTTACTCTTCTTTTTCTAGAGAAAACAATTTCAAAAATATTAACCTCTTCTCGTATGACAACCTTTACCATCCCAGAAACCATTCTAGTAGCCTTTCTCTGAACCCTTTCCATCAATTCAATGTTCTTTCTTAGGTAAGGAGCCCAAGATTGAATATAATACTCTGAATGTAGCTTAACTAGTGACCCATATAATGAAATTATAACCTCTTGAGACTTGTATTCTATATTTTTGTAGATACAACCTAAAATTCTATTTGCCCTATCACTAACAAAAGCACACTGCTTGAATGGTTCAAAAGACTGTTCAACCACTACACCAAGATCCCTTTCTTTCATAACACTGTTATTACCATCCAAATTATACTTATAA